GTTATCCACTAGATACTATATCTAAAACTTATCTGTAAGTCCCCTATTTAAACTTTCTGATTTACTATATCTGAAATATAATACATTACTATAATTGAGACAGAACAGGTTAGGACTATTTAATTACTATTTATATCTAAGTACTACTTTATTGGATATTACTAAGTATTTATAGTTCTTTTGAATTTACCCTTGACACAAACTTACTAAGTATGGTATCAAGATTACCTCTTAGATTTTATTCAATTTTAGTAGATTCTATATCTACTAGAACTGGTTTTGGTGCCAGAAGTGTTCAAATTTTGATAAGTCTATTCTTTTTTTATAGTTTCCTTTTATATTTACTGTATTATCTGCTAGTGCACCTTTTCTCTATTTCTAATATATTCACTACTTCTTTTGCATCAAGTGCCAACTCTTCATATTAAGAAACTTCTTTTCAGGAACTTCTTTATACATCAATCTTCTATTTATATAGACTTAGCTACAGGACTTTGTGTACATTTATATGCTTTCATAGATTACAGAGTTTTTGCTTCCAGCTAAAATTGAACTATTGACCTTGTCTGTGAAGAGAGGAGTGCCTAGACCATTAGGCTATAGGATTCCATTCCTTAAACTTTAAATTTCTAAAATTCAAAACAAGATTTTTTTACCAGACTCTACATCACAAAAATTTCTATATAATTATTTTGTTCTAAAACTTTTTAGCAACTCTTGTATATATTTAATTAAAACTACAATAAAACAAATATACTAAATTATGAACAGATTAATTTAATTTAACTAATAGTAAGTTTCTTATTAACACATTTTACAAAACAATATCAATTAGTTACTAACTTTACAATACTTATCTTATAAAAAAAAACTACTGGTTTTAGTAACTAATTTATCTTCTTTATTAAAGAAATACTATCAAGTATCCAAATTACCTTTGTCCAAAATGCTATAATGCTTCAAAAATATTATACACTTTTTAACTTGTATTTAAAATCATATATGTCTTATAACTTTAATAATACAAACAGTATATAAAACTTCAAACAGTCTAAAAATACTTTGCTATAATATGAATAACTTTATATAAGTTTTTATCTTGAATTACATTAATAAGCCAATACTACTAGAATTAATAAATAATAATACTTTGATATTATTTGAAAATAACAAACTTAAGCATAAACATGTTTCTCTTATTTATTACAATACTATTGTTATAATATTAACTAAAACTAAACCAATCTTATCTTTACCCTAAATAAAAAAATATAATACTATATTATTTATATATAATTTTTTTTTATTATCTTATTATAAACTAGAGGTTTATAAACTATTTTAGTAAAAAATAGGTTAAAAATAAAGTAACTTTTACCTTTATTCTTTCTAGTTTAGTTTCTTTAATATATATTTTATATATGTAAATTAATTAATTAATAAAGAAATAAAGAATAGACCTTTTTTTTTTTAAAAAAAAAGTTATTTTACTATAAATTTTATTTTATTAATTGATGACCCACTAGTCAATCAGAGAATGATCATAGTGTAACATGATGCAGATTACTTATAAAAATTAGAAGTTTGTAAATATGGTGTAAATATATTATAAAACTTTTTTTGTATTAAGTTAATGCCTTTCTCACTTAAATGAAAGTTGTAAAGCTTGTTAAGATGCATCTAATAGTAGTTAGATTATCCAAATCAGCCTGGTGGTTACTAAGATATTGTTAAAAAACATTATGCTAACTATATAAAATTCTATATAAAAATAGTATTGTTTATATAGAATTTTATATAGTTAATATAATATTTTTTAATAATATCTTAGCAATTATCAAGCTGATTTAAATAATCTAACTATTATTAAATACATTTCGACAAGCTTTACAACTTTCATCTAAGTGAGAAAGGCAATAACTTAGTACAAAAAAAGTGTTAAGATATATTTACATCATATTTACAAATTTCTAATTTTTATAAGTAATCTATATTACATTACACTATAATTATTTTTTGACTAACTGACAGATCATCAATTAAATAAAATTTTATATTAATAAATAGTATTTATATTTTAGTTTAATATAATTATATATAATTAATTAAATATTAGTTTCATATTTTCTTATATTAAAAAGCTTCAAATTCTTTATACAAAGTTTTTATATTATTAATAATTTGAAATTAACAATTTATTTTTAAATATATATTTTTAAATTTAAAATTTTTTTTTTTTTTTTGGTATTAAGGTGACCTCTTTGGTTTTTTGACTTTTATTAATTACTTATTAGTATTGTGGTTCAATAAACTATTACAGAAGAGTATACAATTGACTATATATATAACTTTTCTATATTACCTATTTAAGAAGTCTACTTAAAGATTCTCTACCAATTGCCATATCTAATACCTTTGCTTGGATGTTCTACTTTAAACCCTCTAAACCTGTAATCTGTGTTAACTTACTAGATCATACCCAGATGCTCAGATTATTATCTCAACCTTAAAACTAATTTATTCTTAAGGTAAACTCTCAGAGTCTTTTGTATCCATTTTATAACTAATCTAGATATTGCTATAGTAGAATCAACACTTGTAATCAGAACTAATCATTAAACTACTATATTATTGTAGAGTTTACTTAGATTCTAGTATCTACTTCATAGCATAACTTCAGTACTTTAGTATATCTCTGTTTTTTTATCTGCCTTTTTATCAAACTTCCAATTCAGATAGCTTATATAAGACTATGACTAATCTATCAGTATATTAGATTAGGTTAATATCTTTTTTTTTTAGTTTGTTTTGGCAACCTGGTTGGTAATACCTCTAAGACTCCCAACTTGGAGGTTCTTGTTTATCTAGTTACTGCAACTAAGTACTATGACTTTAATATCTGTTTTTTCAAACTAGTCTTTATAGTAGAACTATTGAAGATTCAACTATCTCTCTACTTAGATCTTTCCAAATAGACTTCTTGTTATCTAATTTCAACAGATTTATATAGTCACAAGGACTTATCTAATGTTTGTACTGCCTAATTTGTTAGTTTGCATTCTTCTATATAATGTCATATTTACACAGATGCTCCATAAACTGCCAGTTATGCTGGTGTAACTACTATTACAGGTATTCTAACCCAATTATTAGTAACAGTTATCATAATATGAATATTACATAGGTGATTATCTAAATTTTTACTGTTGATGAGATTTGAACACCTAACCTACTACTTGGAGGATTAACAACCTGACCACTTCACTAGGTTACTATATACCAAATTTAAAATTATTTATTATTATATTGTTAGATTTGTTATACTAAAATACTAAATTTAAAATGCATATTAATAGTTATTATACATATAAGTATAATAATAAAAACTTGTTATATATAACTTTATTAGTACTTTCAACTATATTTCTTTAGATAGTACTTCTGTATAACTAACAAATTAAATACTATATTGTAAACAAGTTAGTTACTCTATAATCAGTTTTCTTATATAACTACTTGAAAGAGTTTATATCAAGTCAAATAAGGCATATTAGATTTGGTAAGTAATTAATAAAATATTAGTTAGGTTCTACTACTGAAGAAAGTTTCAGGTTCATTATTGGACAAATGTACTAACAACTTTATATAACAACAGATTAGAGTTGGATTATATATTAGAAGTGGAAATTACTTTTAATTAACAAGCAATTAATATAAGCAATTATGAGATTTACAAAAACTTATTTGCATCTTGTAATTAATATGACTAATATCACTAATGCAACCGTCTTCCAAAATATCCTTCTAATGAATTTTCTTATGTCAAGAAATCCCAAGCTGCTGGCCAAAAAGATATAGGTTGTAGTATATCAAAAGTTCTCTATATATTTAACATTAACAATCATTTTTTATAGGTAAAATTTCATTTTGAAAACTTTTCTTAAAGGTCAAAAGTTAGTCATTATAGAAATTTTTGTGGTATTACGTTTTTTTTACAATTTTTTATGTTTTTCGCGTTTGTTTTGGTACACAAGATTTTGTGATTTTATTGGATCCGGATAGGGTCGGAAGTGATCTTCAGCCCGGGATTTTCTTGACATAAGGGTATTACCTTTTGATCGATCTCTAATATCCGTCATATCCGTCAGATGCGACTGATCGGTCGCATGCGATGGATTCGACGGATGCGATCGACCTTTTTCCTAATTTAGTAATGAACCCCCAAACGGCCAGGGTCTCACAACGTACTGTAAAAAACAAGATATCGATATAGATTGCACTTATTTATAAATAGCATATTTGTGTAAAATCGACGTTTAATACTTTTCATAATACCATTCTTAGTGCCAGAGTGATTTATTAACGTTAATAACATGATTATCAGCCTGTATAACAGGTATAAGGTGTCATTAAATAAAATCATACACTATGTTCCTAGATCGTCATATTAACAGTAATTTAATATTACCGTGTCCGGCACTTGCAGAACCCTAATATTTATGACCACAATAAATGCAATTTTTCTTATTGTTCTCTAAATACATATCAAAAGTTTGGTCCCTACGAGTTGCATTTAGGGAGGTCTGACTGTGCAACTAGCTTTGCTTATCGAGCCTCTTGATCCAGATTGATAATGCATATACGCCTATATGTTGTAAATTCGAAACCTTGTTCAATATTCCTTTCGAATAAAACGTTAAGTTTTTTAGTTAATAAGATATTGGTTATACAACGTATCATGAAATTTGGTAAATGATTGGCTGACATGTGCCGCGTAGCGGCACGTTTCAGCCAATCATTTGCCGAATAATCCAATATTGATTATGATCATGATTTACGGATATCTGAGTTTTAATTTGGGATTGTTTTACTTACGTAATAACGACAAAAAATAACAAGAAAAAAATCTATCATAAGCATGATAATTATTCTTATTTAGCAGAGAACATCGACTACGTTTGTTCATCTCAATTTAACACAAATAAAGGCTCCTCATTGTAATGGCATTAAATAATTCATTAAATTCTTATAATCCACTTGATGACACAATTAACACGATTGTGACTGGATTGGTTCCATTATTGATAGTTGGTTTTTTTAAGTGTTTCGAAGAACAAAAACTAAAGCAACGTTCTTTAATAAATACATTTGATGATTTTATTATATTTTTATCTAGTGTTATACACTACTTTACTAATGGAGTTCAATGGTTTCCATACTTTAGAACAGAAAACAAATTTTTTTGTATTGCTCTTTTTTTAATTTTAATAACGCTTTTTATCTATTCATACTTGTTTTTTTGGTCTTTGTTCAAGAAAGAAGACACAGAGCCAGATAGGCTGAAATTATTAATTTATATAATTATAGTAATAGTTTCATTGATTTCTTTTCTAGGATATTTTATTATTCTTGGTGGTGATTATGATTTATTATCAATTCATTCTCTTAGTTACATGATTAATTATGTTAGCAGTTATTGCGTTGAATACTTTGGGATTAAGAGATGTAATGACTTGAATACATCAAGTGTAGTAATATACTTTACATGCATAGGAATAAGTCTTATTTATTTGGCTTTTTATCTTGCACCACGTATTGGAATGAAGAAATTTTATCAAAATATTAATAATTTACGTGAGAAATGGGTTTATGATTATCTTTTGATCCCTAATTACATTGTAATTATCATACTAACAGTTTATCCAGCAATCGTATCTGGATATTTACTAAGTACCAACTCACTTACTACCAAAATAGTCTTTGCAATTTCTAGTATATCTTTAAGTAGATTAGTTGAACATTTTGGTGATAGTGAACCTAAAAAAATCAATACGGCAATATCTTTTTATTTAAATTGGAATGTAAAGATGAATGAAAAGAAGAAAAAAGAAAAAAAAAAAAGATTTAGAAAATCAAGAAGATATAATTGTAAATTATGAAAAGGACGAACAGGATCCAAAAGAAAGGTTAATATATCAAATAAATAGACTAAAATCAATCCAGGAACAGGAGAGCAAATTATTTGAAGAAGTGATCGAAGAACTACAAAACCTACAAGGATAGAACGCAAGTGAAGAATCACTAAAAAAATTAGAAATGGTCTGAATAGGTTTATAAACCAAATAAACATGATGATAATATATAACTATTTCTTTTCATATATAAATGTTTTATTATCAATTTATTATTTAAATAAATATCATCCGTTTAATAATCGAACTGTTTCAAAGTCTAGGTCGAAAGTAAATTAACTTTAGTCTCTAGTTCCCCATAACATTATATTCAATTATGCTATGTAAAAATTTATATAGATAGAAAAGGAATAAAGGTCAGGCCTCGCTTTTTTTTTAAAAAAAAAATAATAATCGAACACATTTATGGCCGTGGCGATCACATATCAACTAGTCTTGATTTTACTACATTCACAAAGGGGGCACCTCTTTAATGTGTGCTTGGTTTAGCAAAATGTTCTACTTTAAATTTGCAAGAATTTTTTTTAATTAGAATGTAAGTGATTTTATAGGCAAATTCTTAAATAACAGATGTTTTTTCAAAAAAGATCATGTTTGTTTCAATTTTACATTACATTTGATTTTGCATTCTAATTGGTCAATTAGGGTGGCAATACATTGCTATAATAAATTACAATACCTTATATATATGTTTTATATATTAAATTAGTTTTTCTAGAACTAGGTTTTTTTATTCTATATAATAAAATATAGAAGCTTATAGTTAATTACCTTAGAAAAGTTATTTTATATTAAAGAGTACATTATTCACACATATACTTTTGGTATCTAATTTAAATAGTTTGCTTATATATAAGTTCTATACTAGTTATTATACTGCAACCTAATTACAGATATTATCTATTTAAACTTTCTGTATTGCAATCTTTACTGTATTACTAAATCATTTTTAATACTGATGTTAGTTAAAAATATTTAAATACTTATTTATATTCTTAGAACACTTATTTTGTTTTATGTAATTTATTCTTAAAACTTCATTACTAGAGTTTTTTATATTTTAATTTATATTTAACTTAGTTTTAATCCTTGTAAAGTTCATACAACTTTAGTAATTTTTTTTTACAACTTTACTAATATTTATTTATCTTTATAAGTCTTTCTATATTACTAATCTAATTAGTTCTGTATAATACAACTTTATGCTTAAATCAATCAATAATCAAATTGATGAATCTTTTACCTAAAAGTTTTACTTATACAAATTATCTGTTTTAGGTTTTTTTATTTAAATCAAGATCTTTACAAATAGTATTATTAAAAGTTATTTCTTAAACTGTATTCCAAACAAATTTGTCTAGAAAATTAAATTGTATTTAGTATTTTTTAAATAAAATAATAATTTATTAATATAGTATATATTTTGCTTATGAAATATATTCTTAAAAACATATTTTATAAACTTTATTATAAAACTTTTTTCAAAATATTAA